ACTTCTGCTTTTGAGGAAAAAAAGTTATCCAACCGAGGTTGTCCCTCCTCCAACAGCAGCAGACAAAGCAGCAAATGTGGTTTTCTGGCCTCCCGCACAGGCAAAACAAGCAGGAAGGCTACTGTATGTTTACTACATCTGACACACTGCTTCCACAGGCAAAGTGTACTGTCTGTACCTGGTACCTGCTCTGCTTGTGTTAGAAGTCAGCACGTCAACAAAAAAAAACTGCGAGGGCACTTTAAACAAGCCCTCTGCTAAATTTCTCTTCATCATGCAGGACTGAAGACAAAGAAGTATGAGCTTCAGCATGGGCTATAATCTGATTGTATACTCAGGGTTAATAGTCTGCACTCAAGATCATTTTTGAGCATCTTCAGTTCTGCCGTACTAGCTTGGCTATGGCACACCCATTTTGCTATGCCCACATAAATTTGGTAACAAGAAGGAAGAACGGCACTGCTGCCGCTGCAATCAACCCAAACACAACATCAGATTCCTGAATGATGTATAACTTGATAATCTTGGCAAATACGTCTCAGGAGTGGATACATAAATCGGGAAATGGGCAGAAAGGAATACAAATTCTGACTCCTCTTACAATTACGCACTCCTGCCATAGTATATAACTTAGTGGAGAAACAAGGCCAACAAAGTGTTATGTCATGTCACTTCTCCAAGGTTACATTGGAAATCGGTGGCAGATACTTTAGATGTTTACTTTAAATAGAGCCACTGTAATTTTCCCCATAGGCAACTGCATGTGTAATGGCAAAAGTTGGGTTTGAGTATCACTTCCCCTGGCATTAAATCAGAGACAGAAATGTAAGCCAATGGGAATTACGGCCCTGATACTGATGCCTTTAGCAGTCTCCTACTCACCTATCAAATTCTGGGGTGATTAAGGAGAAGGGCATCTAATACCCTAAAGCTCTGCTTGTTTTTGTAAACAACTCCCAAAGTTCATGTGCAGTTCATCTCTTTTTAGAACACATATTTAGACAGCCATGTTTTTGACAATTTTCTATTTTCCGACTGCCGGGCATATTTCTGCATTATAGCACCTGCTCTCTCCGAGTTTTGATTTTGAAGCACTGGTGACATGTGTCAGCAGACACTTATTCTGTCTCTAACTGGAGCTTCAGGCATGGATATTTTTGGCTGAAAGAAATATCTCTGATCCTGGAGAAGATGATCATTCTAGTATCATGGGAATTTTTCCATAACAGTAAAGAAAATATCTGTAGAGGTATTTTGTCAGGGCATTCAGAGACAATTCTATATAGGAAACAAATTTGATTTAATTTATCTGGTTGCATTAAAGGAAAAAATGCATCTATTTTCTAAATGACATAAAAATTCATTGGTGTTACTGACAATTTACACTAGCGTAAAAATGTCAGAATTAGATCTATAGATGCAAGATCTCTTCCTTCTGAAAGAACACGGAATTAATTCCCTGGGAACACAGGAAACAGAAATTTAACCTTTCAGAGAAATGTAAAATTAAGACAATCTAGAGGTTCAAATTCAATTACATTTTTGCCAGAATATTAATATTTCACCAGAATATTCCAAAATGGGAACTGTGAATCAGCTATTTATTTCAAATCTAAGTGAAATTTGAACTGATAGGTAACCTAGCATATCCAGCTTGTTGCCCCATAAAAGCAAAATCTTACATTCTCTTTATTATCTCTTTTCAGAATGAGATGCTGTGCAACAGACAGAATCTAGTGAATCAGCAGTGTTTTGTCTGGCTCTGCCCTGCCTGACTCCCACGCACTCCTGCCAGAGGATCTGAACTGTTCAGCTGCATTTAATCACTCACCTCTGAGGTGGACTTTGCCCACCAGACAAATAACTGAGTGGGGAGAATCTGCTTCCTTTCTTGGCAGGTATAATTATTGCATTTCTTTGTAAGACCAAATTAATTCAATTTAGCAAGACACAGAACATTTACTTCTTTGGCCAGATGCTATCTTCTGGCTATGGATAGGTGTCTGTACTGATTTTATTAGCTTTCTCTGCAGCTTTTAAATACTGAAAAATGGAGGGCTGCAAATCTCTTCTCTGCAATATCTGGTGCGAAACAGATAAGCGGCTCAAATCACTCCCTTCAAGCTGAATGCAGAAAGACGTGAAAAAAGAGATTTCTCTGTACTGAGGTTTGCAGGGGTCCTCACCCTTCTCCTTGCTCATCATAGATTCAAAGACTGTGGGGAGCTTCTAGAATGATTTTGTATGTTTTAATTTCAGATTGTAGCCTGTGCAATAGCTCCCTAAATGTCCCCAAAGGTGTCACCTTTTATTTGCTTTGTTGATGCCTGACAGAATTAGGATGAGAAAAGCTCCAGCTGTATTTAAGAAAAAACATTGTGAGAAATCAATAGGGTTATAATTGCCACTCCTGTGCAGAGGTTATTTCCATCTTTTCTCAAGAGGTTCATCCCACCATTCTGATTCCTGAGAAAGAAGCAAATCTTTCCCAATTAATTCCAAGATGTATTCAATGTATGAATTCAGTGTATTAAACTTTCCTACTATTCTACAGTAGTACCGTTACTGATACACTCAGTGTAAATCAAACCCTCTCTACTCATCTTTATTACATACAAAGCTGAGAAAGGTGTAAACAAGAGTGAGGTAAAATCTGAAAGCCCAGAACTTCAGATCAGATTTAAGTATGATTTTTTTCTCTTTTGTGGGATTGAGCCCATAACTCTTAACAAAACCCAAATGATCTTTCCTTCCCCCAAAGGAGACAGCACAACAGAAAGAAACTCAAAAAGTCAGTCTGGTGCTAAGATTTGATATGACAAGTTTAAGCCTCAAATTATTATATTTCTAATGTCCAAATTGCAAATCCATGGGGAAAAAAAAAAAATTTCTCAGGCAGTTGCTGAAAAATTTCTTAGAGCAGTTGCTGAGAGAAAAGCAGCAAAAGGGCCTTTTGCCAGTGATTTGAGAACTATCTTTACAGTTACGGAAATATACTGTGAGGGGATGATATGCTTGACCATATCTTGCCATGATAGTTTCTAATATGTGGAACTAAACTTTTAGGCAACTGAGCATAAATTAAAGCATCTTAGAAACTCCTCAAAATTACTTTCAGCCTGACTTTCTCTTTAATCGGGACACCAGGCAAGGCTATCTATTAATCTCACATATATTAATTATCATTTTCTTTAGACATATCTTGCTAACTACAAAAATAAATAATGACAACATCATCCCCTGGTAGGAATAAATATTTAGATTAAATCAAGGTTAAGTGATTTAACTGATCAAAGTTACTACACCTGCAGAGTATGCTGAGGAAAAGCTAAACAAGGAGAAAACCACAAACTTTGCTTAATACTGAATATTGTGAGTTTACTATTTTTTTCATACTCATAAAATAAATTTCATTGACCAACCTCTGCTTCCTTCTGAGAGGTTTCCCCCAGAATGCTGTCTCTCTACTATTTCAGGTTGCAGAGCATGACCCAGATGTGGAGATGAACTGTTCTCACTGGGGAATGGGCTAAGTGAACAGAGAGCTATCATGATAAATCAAAGGGAATCCTTATTGCTAGCTAGAAAAACAGCTGCTTTATTTATTAACACTATTTATTACTAGATATTTTTATCATGGCATTTGCACAAAAAGATTTAATTCATACACTTACTTGTAAGTAATCACCTTTGGAGAAATCACATTTGTGGGACTCAGTGGTTTCAACACAGGTTGAATAAAACAGAAAAGAAAACTAAGCTCCTTCGGTCATTTCAGATGAGGTTTTCATAGTGGGAGATCTACTGTTTGTAGGAACTGCCTATGTTCAGTGTGATAGAAAGATCACGAGTCTCCTGTGCTCTCAGTGCAGCCTCTTGTAGGCAAGCCAGGAATATTCAGTGACTATTGATGCACAACTATGTACACAAGCTTCCCTCCCCTATGGTCGCTCACTACCAACAGCACAGTTAGACAGGTGTCACTCAGCAAGCCAAGAGCTACCATGTTCATTCAAAACTTGTTCTGATACCTGGAGAAGTAGTCCAGAGACCTGGTGCCTACAGACTGGAAAATGTTGCCTGATGAACTAGGTTGTCTGGAGAAAATATTTGACATTGGACAAAGTAACCAGCATCACTCTCTTCAGTTCGTCAGGCTGCAGTGTGGCCATTTTTCTAGAGCACAGGGAGAATGCAGACAGCCCAGCACACATCTCTCAGAAGACTCCTCGCCTACTCTGGTACCTCCTCCTCATGTATCTCATTCTCTGGGGCCCCAGCTCCTTGACACATTTGCAGATACAGTGCTCTATACAACAATCATTCTGCAATTGTCCCCTCTGTGGTGTCTAATCCACATAATACAGTGCTGAAAAACATTATCATCACGATCATGCAAAATATATACAAGCTGTGACATACACAGAATACACACTGAATGTGGTTTTACTATGCGTATGTGGCTAGAATACAAATTCTTTTTCTGGGAGTGGGAAGAGGAAAGGAAAAGACTCCTCACACCCACTCTGCACATTTCTGGTTCGCTTCTGATTTGGTGCAAATTAATGAATATTAAATTGATTCCAGTTCCTCAGGAAATTTTTATTCAAAAATGATAAAACCAGAAGAGGTAAAAATATCATTTTCTGTTTGCTTACCTGGAACACCATGGTGAGCAGGTTTCCTATTCAACTGGGTGACTTTTTGGTATCTTTTTTGCAGTTTTTTTGGTTTTGTTTTGGTTTTGTCAAACAAGTAGTCTTCAGTGTTTTTACAGCAGTGGCTATTACAGAAACTATGTCTCTTGCACTTCTTATCTTGGAGGGTGGACAAAATAAACAAACTGAAAATAATACTACAATGAACAGTAAATGATGAATGGTTTACAGTACAAAAAACAGTGTAAAAAGGAAGACAAGTTTAAATATTGTTGTGTATGAAAGGGATGAAAATAATACAAGGATGAGAATAAGTAAAATGATAGGCTGGAACATCTGGGAAAGTAAATACAAAGACAGAGAGAACAGTCAATTAATGGAATAGCAAGTCCAAAGTTTCAACAAAATAAATAGTGAATCAGACTATGCTTGTGGAGGGACCAAGTGTCCATCTCCCATTGACTTCAGTAGGAGTTCTGCATGGTCAAGTCCTGAAATGTCCAATTTAACTATTGCTGTTATTTGTTTAGAGAAAATATGAATGGAGTTTGCTTTAAATTTGTATAAGTCCATGCAGCGCTCTGCCTTTAAGCTAATGGGAGCTCTACAAGCTCAGAGCTATTGGTAGGTCAGAAAGTGAGCATGCTAAATGCCGTTTCTGTTGGATTTCATGCAATACATGTATAGTAAGTGATTAGCTTTAAACTCACTGCGTCTGTGACTTTCTGATACAAGGAAACAAAAGGCTAATTAGTCAGCATAGCAATAAGACATAATAGCTTTCAGCTTCACCTCGCAACTACTTAGACTGTAAACTAGTAGGACAGCACAAAGTAAATTAACACTGCAAGAGACTTACTAAAATATTGGATAATACCACGAGCAGTAACAAGATTTGTCAACTATAGCAAATGTACGATAAGGTAAGGGTAGGTAATTTTCATTTTTCATGGCAAAAGATCTTGAGTCAGCACGGAATTTGCTCCCCAAAACACCTCTGGAACAATTCTGCATAAAAATGAACTACGGAAAAGATACCCCTCACTGCTGCATTTAAGCAGTGACCCAAAGGCCTTCAACAAGATACAATCAGTTACAGCAATTCCCGTATCCACACTACCATGTGGCTCTGTGACTCTGTAAAGGAGATTTCACATGTTTTATTTTTCTCTGTGGTTTGTCATCTTCTCTATAATTTTGGAAATTTTATGTTTCCTCCTGTTTAAAATTAGTAAGATTTTCTTTCTATTCATTTAACAGGAACCCAACCACTAAGAAAACAATCATGGTAATTTGTGTGCCAAAAATGCCGTCTGAACTGCCTTTACGGGTGATGAAGGCACAACTCTGGCAAATGTAGCTGCAAAGACAGAAAGGAGTAAAATCTTCCACCTCCTAGAGCATAATTCTTTTAAATTTTCAGGAGACCAGACTTATTCACTGTTCACAAACAGCCCCATTGGTAGAACAAGGTTTCATATGGCCAAATGAGGATTTGAAATGATTTAAGAAACAGCGATCTCTGTCCACTGTCTAGAATAAAGACTTTTCATGTGCCAATCATCGAATTTGAGGTTTAATTCACTCAGCAGAGCCTTTTTACCTGTAGGCCGTAATAAGTAAAAGTCTACCTGACTCACTGACAAAGGTTCATCTGCACTTCGATCATCCGAAGACTTTGGAACTTCGAGTCTGTCGATGAAAGCCTGGAGCTCTTTCCTGAAGGCCTTCATCTGTGCGTTGATCCGGTAAAGAAGCTCATGCTCGCGTATTCTGCTGCCATCGTCTTCCTCATCCATCAGTCCAAAGAGGTCCCCGTTAGCTACATAGATTCTCGCCTCTGTTATGATGGTGCTCGTGTCAGAAATTAAGCGATCTATTGTCTTGCCCAGCCGCTCAGCTTCCGAGCGAATGTCCTTCATCTGCTGCCTGTCAGTGAAGCTTTTCTGCCACCCTGATGGTGTTGGATAAAAAGACCTCGTGGGTGTCAGGCACCGAATGTTGCGTACCTCTTCGGAGTCGCTTTCCCCACCAATGGGGCCTTCCCTTTTGCGGTGAGGGGGGCGGGAATCATCATCGCTCTCCTTTTTTCCTGCATCGCTTTCAGCATCACTGTCTCTGGGACTGCCACGGATCCCAAGATGAGAGGCCAAGTCGTAGCGCTGCATGTTGGACATTAAGACTCTGTTCTCATACTGGAGTTGCATGACTTTGCCACTCAGCTCATTGATCTGCATTCGTGCAGCTTTTAGCTCCTCCTGTAAGGCTTCTGTCTTGGCATTATCATGGTGCCTAGAGCTCTCATGGGCCCCGGACTTGTACTTGTATTTGTTCAGCTCAGCTGTTATGCGCTTGTTTTGTTCTTCCAAATCAGCTAAATTTCTCCTCAGCAATTCTGTTTCATCTTCTACTAGCTGCAAATGCTGCCGTAATTCTGAAATGGATTCACTCTGCTCTCCCAGGAGTGGATTAGCTGTCCCTGAGAAATCGTCTCCTCTTAAATCATCAAGCTCTGCTTTCAGTCCTCTATTTTCTACTTCTAATTCCACTATTTTCCTCCCAAGAATGTTAGCTTCCTCCTCTACAAGTCTCAATCGAAGCTTGAGTTCAGCTTCTCTTGTGGTAGGTGGCCCACCTGCTTCACCTTTTGGCAAGGGGCTGTCCAAATCCCCATAAAATGATCTATACTTTTGCAGCTCATGTTCAAATCTGTCTTTCTCTTTATCAATCTTAGCCATTTTCTTCCTCATCAAGGCTGCTTCTTCTTTGACAAACTGTAGCTGGCATTTCAGGTCTTCGTTGTCCTCCTTAGAAAAAATAAAAAGTAGTATTTGAAGAAACTTGATATAAAACAGGAGACCTCCAGTGGATGGTCTTAAATTACGAGATTAACAATCACAGGTACGTAGCTTTTGATACTAAGAGATTTTCCTGCAATCATTTTTTCACGGATCAATAAATTAAAGAGAGGGAAATAAAAACATACATTTAAGAGAGAGGAAAAGACTGTTTTACTTGTGACTAAAGTTTGCGCAGTCCCCAGAAAATACACTGTGGGGGCAGGGGGACCTTGTAAAAAAATCCTTACAGTTTCGAGGCTTTTAACACTGTAATAGACTTTACAGTCTGCACACAAAGGGTCTATAATCTTGTCTCACCCGTGCTCCCATTTACTTATTTTGCCTAAAATACAGAGTATGTGAAAGCTGGTGGGTTCTGTTGCATCAGCAGCAGTTTGTTTAGGTGGTCCTTGACATAGCGTTGTCTTACTGCAGGTCTGGGGTAAGAGCTCTCAGTTTCACAGCATACAGGAAAACAAAGAGCAAAGCAAACAAGCAAGCGAAGTGCAAATCTACAAATCACGTACATAATTTCCATAGTGTTCCTGAATCCTCCACAGGAGAATCCAGGCTACAATTATTACAACATACCTCTGTCGGTGTCTGCTGTGACTTTTTTTCTGATTTCGGTAGGTCTTTGCTCCCTCTTCTTTTCAGTGATTGCTGCAGCAACAACAAAATGAGATGCACTGAATATTTCACTAAGGAGGTAATATAATTCATATTTCATTCATTTTAAAACATAGCAAGTCAAATGCAACTATAAAAGACTTAATTTCTTGTAATCCTTGAGGTACCAAATACAGAGGGGAGACAGAGCTGCCCCAAAATGACACAGCAATGTTATACAAGTAAAATATTGGTTTAACCACCTTTTTTATTCAACACATTTTAAGACTAGTGCATAATGACTGTTTAACACATGACAAGACAGGTAAGAAAGCAGGTGTCCCCAGTGGTAACTTACAGATGGGAAAGCTGAGGCAAGCAGTGAAACCCAGCCTGCCCATTTGACATTAACCCTAACGGGGCCAAGGCACTTAGAGGTGCGTGTAGCCAGACGTGTACCCTTAGCCTTTGTGTAGGCAAGCTACATAAAACAGTGTCACTGAGATGCCATCAGCAGACTTGAGTGTACACCTACATGCACACCTTTCTCTCTGTCCCACCCGCCGGCTTTGAGCTTGCAGTGTATGGCGCTCGCACCTCTGTAGGTGTACACTGCAGACAAACTCTGTGCAGACAAATTCACACACAGATCTGGTCACTAGGTTTGTTCGGTTTTCAGAGCATATTCAAGTAAATACAATTTAAAACTGCTTGGACTACAGAGTCCTAGTGAGAAACAAAGTATCTCAGCTTAAGGGCAGCACCACACAAACACACCTATGCACCACTATATGATCAAGTTTCTTTGGTGTCTTCTCATCTGCTATGTAGCCAAAGTGAGTAGAAAAGAAACTCCTGCTTTTAGAGCAGGATGCACTGGGATCAAAGCGTACTAGTATTTCCAACAAAAACCTTGTAATTGCTGATGGTAGGAAGTTCATTAGTGGGCAAGTGGTAGCAGTGGAAAACAACTGCAACCATCCCCCTGTCAGCACTCAATATACACACCATCAGGAAAACAGCAGGAGAGAGGAAAGCGAGTGAGAGAACATGTTAATACGTAACATCCCACTTGCACTATTCCCAGTTTTTATGCTCCCCAGGTAAAAACACCATCCCCCTGTGAGATTATTCTCTGGTAGAAGGATCCTTTGTGCCCCTGAGAAACATGAATTTTGCCACAGCAGCTGGGAGAGAATCCAGCTGTATCCAAAAGCTATCCAGTTCCGTACAGCGGGAATTAAAATATGTTCATACTCCAGGAAGAGAGTACAGTGGGTGAGTATGCTGTACATAGCAGTCCTGTGTACCATAATAATACCACTATGGGTTATCACTTTGAAAAAACCCTTTTCAAATCAGTTAGCACTACAACATTATTCACCTGCTGGTACCAATTGTTTTCTTTCTTATGCAGATCATGCCCATAACAAATACTAAGCTTGTGGACTGCTCGCTCCAAAGGAACAGTCAATGCCATAGAAACGACTCACATTTAAGTCTGAGCAACCACAAGAGATGATTTCTCATGAGGCCTTTTGCTCAAATTTACTACAGAGTTATGCAAGAATTAAGAAAAATGATCTCAGATTCAGAATCAGAACTAAAATTCACAGATGGGTCCACCAAGAACCAGAATTAAAGTTTTTATGTCTCTTGCGGAAACACTGAATGCTCTCCATAGACAAAACAATAAAACCAAAGATCATCAGCTGTGATAGTTGGATAGCTGGATAGCTGTGAATCACAGTCTTCTAAAGGAATCCAAAAAAGACACAAAAAATAGTTAAATTAACATACTTTCTCCTTTTAAATATAAAACCAGCAACTTTAGGATCCTGTCTACAAACAAAATTATTTTTCTTCAGGGTCACCCATCAGTTATCCTATTGCAAAAATAGTATATGCAGGTGGAGGTTTGTTTGTTGTTTTTCTTTTTGAATTGGAAAATTTATAAAGTGTTAAACTTTCAGAGGAGCAGCTTCCTCCTCTGTATTACCATTAATTATACCACTATGTATCATCACTTTGAAAAAACCCTTTTCAAATCAGTTAGCACTATAAACTTCTCCTTGCTCAAGATTCTTGCCAATACCACCCACTGATAAAATAATTAAGGGGTAGTTGAACTATATTTCTGTTTGATTACCTAAATGCCTTCTATTCACCCTGCTGAGCTCAGCATCTCACCAGATATAATGAGGTTTTGAAATGCTGAGCTGCAACTTCTTGTGTACCCTACAACTTGTCAGAGGGTAAGAGATATATAAAGTTTTCTATGACAAAAAAAAAAAAAAAAAACAACCAAAAAACTACAGAGAGCAAAAAGTATTTTACTAGGTTTGACATAAAATGAAAAATGTGTTTTTCTCCTTTCTCTATACATCTTTAGCGTTCCTTTTGGTAGGGTAGCAACATTTTAATTACAACAATGGCTGTGGCTACGTAATGACTAGGCACTACTTTCTATTCTTCTCTACTTGAATTACAAGAAGCTATCCATGGAGCTTGCATTAATCACCAATGAAATGATGGTGTTTAGCAACAAAATTTTATAGCAGAAAGCAATGAAGAACATGCACAATTCAATTAGCAGGATGATTTGGGTAAGTGGATTAGGCCCAGCTGGAACTGGTATGATCTCTTTTCTTGTGAAAACCACCATGAGACAACTTCTGATCACTAGAGGTTAAAATCTTGCTTGCGCATCTCAGCTGACAGATGACATCTGCAAAATCACAGTGCCTCATAACATCATACTGAACAAAGAATGACACATATCAAGCAGTATATCCTGCTATAAATAATAATTTTTGGAGAGTTTTTTCAGAGGTACATTTCACAATTTACAGTGGCTACTCATTCTATCATTTCTCTCAAACCTTGCACTAGTCCACTCTTCCAATCCGATTTTCAACATTAAACAATTTATTGCTGCTAATGAATGGAAATGGAAAAAGGAGAAAAAAAAAGATCAAATAAATGTATGACAAAATCAAAAATAGCAACCCAGACAGGATCCTGCAAGTGAATCTTCATATCATCCCTGCAACTGGACACTATTAAAACTGTCTGCATGTTGCTTGTTTTGACATACTAACAAATGTTAAACAGGGTGAGTGAATCAACCACTTTCTTACTCAAAATCTGTTCAAAAATTTTTGTGTTAGATCACCCTTTAATACAATTCACCACCTGTTGATCCTTCTCCCATGTCACAGTGTACCACAAAGCATACTGTAGTGCCACTAAAAGCCACCTCTGCTGTTTTCTCAACTGTAGCAAAAAAATCTGCTCCCCGTATTCTAGAATTGATTTTGAGAGTTTGTTGTGAAAGATAAATTTGGGGATCAGATAATTTTTCTTCCATATAGTTTTAAAAATCATATTCAGTTCACTCTAATGATTATGAGTTAAAAAAATGACAAAGGTAAAGTAAGAAACATAGAACCGCTTTTGCACTATCTGGTCAGTAACGCTTACCAGGCAGTGTTACAGTTTTAATAACCTTGAACCAAGTTACCCATCTGCAGGAGAAAAGAATAAGCAAAAAATGCATACAGTACTGTTTCTAAAATGGGGACTGTGCTAAACTGTTCAAGTAATAATGAAATATTTCAACAGCACTGGGGATAAGACGACCAGCAACTGGGGCATGTATCATTATATTGTATAATCTCTGCTTACCTCTGAAACACTAGGAAGTAACAGCAGGTCTGACCTGACTATTCTAGCATTCACTGTAGCCAGCACACGTGGGGCTCCATGTGTGTTCTGGCAATGTTGAGAAGTTTCCACGGTCTAGGTAAGAGCACAGATAACGTTCATATTATCTGCACACCAGATCACATGCAATGGGCAATTCTGTTGTGATGTTCAGCAGCATCAATTCTCTAGTGAACTTTGCTGGAGTTTATCTAATGCCTTGCCAGAGATGCCAAGCACTTCTCCAGACCAGATGGTACAATCCTTCTCTTGCCATCCCTAAACTGAAAGCCAAGTGTGCAGTCCTAACATCACCTGTGATGCTCAGTGCTTCTCAGGTGTGGAAAAACCTGAAATCTACTCTGAGAGTAACACAATGCAGAAATAATAGCATCACACTCCACTGAGTAGGAAAGCTGTAAAATTAATTCAAATTCTTGCTACCTGATCCTAAGCTACAGTAAATCTCTCAACAATTAATAAAGAAGGCCTAAACAAAATATAGCAAGATTTTTCAAGACACTTGGGTTTGATTATTTCAAGACTGATCTGGGGATATATGATCTAAAAATCTATGTAGGCAACCACAGGAGGGATTCCTGACATATAAAGGGATTTAAGGGTGCACAGAGACCACAAAACTGCCCTTATCCCTCATCACAGAGCAGGCTAAGGCAAAGAGCATGCACCTTCTCAAATCTCCACAGCTACAACTGAACCTTCTCACCTGCACACAACTATACTGTATGTGGTTACAGTTAGCTGCCTCCCAAAGGCTGTGCCAGGTCTGTAGAGCTTGCAAAAATCGGTGCAAACCTAACAGCATCTTTACAATCTTGAAAAGCTGATGAATATTGAACAACTTTTGGGCTGCACAACCTTGCCTCTGTCTGGCACAGAGTGATTATGACCAGGGAAATAGGAATTTGCCCTAAGATTCTGCATTTTCCTTTCAGTCAGTAAGATCAGGTAGCTCATGGAGCTGGATCAAAACAGACGTAAGACAGATTATTTTTTTTTTAGTTTACTGCCATGAACTCTAATTCAATGTATTAGAATATGTAGCAAAAAATTAAATGGACACTATCAATTTTGGCAAATTGAAAATGCGTATTCTCCTCCAAAAAAAATCTTTGTTTTTCAAATGTCTCCCTTATTCTGCAACTCTATCAGTGCAATTTGCCAGCAACCAACTAGAGACACTGGCTTTGTCTGTCATTGGCACAAATACGTAGAATGATACAAACCTTTACTCCTTCCACTCCCCTTCAAGGGCAGGAGGAGTCCTGATGTATTTCAGTATTCTACTTGTCTGCAAAATTAAGGCAGGAAAAAAAAGCAGGGGATAA